AGCTAAACTTTGCTCTGACTGCTGTGGACACCCAAATCCTGACCCAAGGCAAATGATTAACACACCTTCATGGTGATGCAGTAACACTCATCACTCAAATCCACAGTGAATGCAGGCGCTAGATTTTGATGTAACCAAAATCTAAACTTGGAAAATACCCATCCATGCAGCTTTAAGATAGTATTCTTTTGTTCTCTGGTTCTCACAGAACCCTCCTAACTTCCTGCGAGCCTCTGCTCTGTCGGAGCACATCAGCCCCGTGGTCGTGATCCCCGCCGAGTCGTCGTCCCCCGAGTCAGAGCACGTGGTGGAAACGGACGACCTGGTGGACACAGATGTCCCCGCGCTGCCGGTAACTACACATACCTCCGAACGGTACCATCTGTCTTGTAGCTGGCTGGCTCCCTGCCTCATACGTGTGCTGTTGTAATCAGCAATCAAAAATTGAAGAGGGATGTTGTGTTTGTGGAAGCAGTCAGGAGTAACAGATGCACGGAGACAAAACAGGAAATAACTTGCGTCACAAACAGGAATCTTGAGAAAACTAAACATTTAAACATCTGGTTGATATTTATGCTGGTATGTCATTGGTGGTAGTTATATTAACGTTTACCTACCTGGCTGTTGAAGCTGAGTTGTGAGATAATGAGGTAATTAATGCTGTTTTGGACTTATAACTCAATGAGCAGTTGGAAAAGGAAGCTGGATGGAACTGAAAAAAAAGGATTAAAGCCTGATAAGTTGACGAGATGAGAGGAAACAGCAGGAAACTGAGGTGGACTGTATGTATAAGACCTGACAGGTGATGAATGTTCTTCCTACAACGACACTAAGTGAGCATTTCATGATGTCCAACTGCTTATTAAAGCAAATATTTAATCCACCAATCGTGTGGAAGAATCTTAGTGTACTTCAGTCCGTAGACACATTTAAGGGGATCTGCTAAAATTTAGATTAAGCATCAAAAAGGAGAAGAAAAATAAATTACAATCGTGACATGATTGGTGGTGATAGCTGGGCTGGTTTGAGTGTTTCAGAAACTGCTGATCAGTTGTGATTTTCATGCACAACCATCTTGGGAAATTAAAGAAAACGGTACAAATTTAAAAAACAAAAAGCATTCCATGAGCGGCACTTTATAAGACAGAAGACCACCAGCTGCCACGCGTGTCAGCTAACTTAAATTAGACAGTAGAAGATAGCAAAAAAAAAACCTTGCCTGGACTGATGAGCCTTGATGTCTGCAGCAACATTCAGATGGAAGAGTCAGAATTTGGTGTAAACAACATGAAAGATCAGATATATCCTGCCTTGTATTAATGGTTCAGGCTGCTGGTGGTGTAACGGCCCCTTAGTACCAACTAAGCATTGTTTGAACACCACAGCCTACCTGAGTATTGTTGCTGACCGCGTCCATCCCTTTATGACCATGGTTACGCTTGAAAGGACAATGCGCTGCGTCACAAAGCTCACATCATCTCAAACTGGTTTCTGAAACATGATAATGAGTTATCAGTAGTCGAATGGCCTCCACAGTCACCAGATCACAATCCAACAGAGCACCTTTGGGATGTGGTGGTAAGTCAGTCGTATCAAGAAGGTGCTACCCACAGTTTTTAGCAACTGCATGATGTTATCATGTCAATGTGGACTAAATTCTCTGAGGAATGTTTCCAGCACCTTGTTGAATCTCTGCCACACAGAAATCAGGCAGTTGTGAAGACAAAAGGGGCTCTAACCCGGTACTAGCAAGGTGTAGCTACCCAAGTAAACTTGAAATATTAGACCCAATGTTTGCACTTTATATTAATACATTTGATTTCTGTGTTGTCCTATTTTAGGCCGCTGTGGAGACCAAGTTTGACGACCTGTTCGGCACTTCGGCTGCTATCGACCCGTTCAACTTCAACAGTCAGAACGGCATGCGCAAGGACGACAAGTAGGTGTCATCGCAGGGTCATGCTGACGTTCGTCTCACGTGTTGTCACTACAGACGTTGTGATCATTTAAAAATAATCTTACATTTGCACCGAAAAAACATAAATGAATGATATAAAACTCTGTTCGGCTTTGTCTTTACCTTCTTCTAACACAAAGTACTGTCTGGTCACTTTGGCCACTTTGGCTGGAGTTTTGTCTCTTCAGTCATCGCAGCTGTAAATTAAATACCAATGTTGTTCACTATTGGCTTTGCTGCTGTAACTTTGCTGCAAATTTCCCTGCTGTGGGATTAATGAAGGATTATCTGGTCTTATCTTTTATCTTAGAATATCTCATTGAGTATGTGGATGTGTGCAAATATGCCTGTAATTATATGTCGGGTTGCATGTAGGGTGTTAGTGTAAACAGTATGTGTATATATTTATATGACTATATGTGGCTGTATTTAATTTGTGTATTTATTTGTGAGATAAGATAATATCCAGACTCTTAAAATACATTTTTCCTCCTGGGAAATTATCTGTCTGGAAAGCACTGTATACTTATTGCCAGTTTAAACACAGACACGTTTCTTTGATTTTAATGAATTCAATCAATTTGTTCTGTGTATGTTAAAAACAGCAACATAGAGCTGGATAGGAGTGCAGTTATGAAACTGTTAAATTAAATAGAAATGTACTTGTGGCAGAAGGCTAACATTTGTGACAACACGGTTTATTTATTTGACAGTATTTGTTTGGTTAATGAGGGTAAATTTTGTCTGTATTCATCAGAGACCGTCTGATCGAACAGCTGACGAGGGAGATCCAGGCCCTAAAAGAAGAGCTGGAATCTTTCAGACTGGAGGTAGAACAACTTTGTTCAGCATCTCCAGAAGCTTTTCTCCCATCTTTTGTCGTCTTCTCACTTTTCATGCTCTGTTTCTTTCTCTCTCGTCTCCAGAGCGGTCGGCTGTGTCAGGCGCTGAGGGGGCGTGTCAGCGAGCTGGAGGCGGAGCTGGCCGAGCAGAGCCACCTGAGGCTGCAGGCTGTCGGAGAGAGCGAGTTCCTGAAGGCAGAGCTGGACGACCTGCGGAGGGTCCGAGAGGACACGGAGAAGGAGCAGCGGAGCCTGACGGAGATCGAGAGTGAGGGTTCATTTAGTTACATGCGCTTCAACAGAACACATGAGTTGAACATCTTTGGACACAGCAGCACTTTGTAAAGACTTGTGGTTTCAAGTGTTATTATTTTAGATTGTAATCAAGACTCTTCCAAGTAGTGTTGAGTGTAGGCATGTAAAATTTACTGTGTGAATAAAAACGTGTGAAGTAATAGCATTTCAAGGTTATCTCCTCTGGAATTACAAGCGACTTAATTGCTTGAATATTGAAGAAGTTCGTCAACACTGATCACAACAAGAAAAGAAAAAGAAAAAGAAAACAGCACGTTTGTAATTCAAAAGAACTTTTCTGAAACTGAGAGTTGTAGCAAAGAGAAAGGGTACACGTAGTTGTCACATGAAAAACTGCAGAATTTATTAAACTAGCTCTTTGCTGAGGTAGATTTCCTCTGATTATGTTGCTTCTGTCTTAATGCATTAATGTGTCTTTAACCAGGAAAAGCTCAAGCCAACGAGCAGCGCTACACCAAACTGAAGGAGAAGTACACAGAGCTGGTTCAGAGTCACGCAGACCTGCTGAGAAAGGTGAGAAAAACACCTTGTACCTCTTCATTTTCACGAGGCTCTTCTTTGTGTCCTCATACCAACTTCTAAAACCTGCAAGTGGGGCTGCATGCTGTCCTCCGAGTGTCCTTTTTTACTCCCCCCAAGCTGAGGACCAGGCGTCCGTCCTAATTATTTTGTTGTGTCCCACATCCTTTCGTGTTTCTCTGTGTGCAGAACGCAGAGGTGACCCGGCAGATGACAGTCGCTCGGGCAGCACAGGATGAAGTGGAGGCCGTGAGGAAAGAGATGCAGGAGAAGGTGAAGGCCGCTCAGGAGGCTGCAGACAGACAGGTGAGGGCGAGATCAACTTTGCCGCTAAACACGTACAGAAATTTGGCCCTGCGCTGTCAACTCGGTGGTTGCGAGTCAAATAATTCACATTTTTGCAGCCCCACTGTGTGATCTTTCTGCTGTAAAGCGACCCAAACAACAACAAACTGCTTTGAGGAATTGCACTTTTTTGCGGGGTTTTGTGTGTTGTCTAAAGTGAGATTTTTCTTGCTCAGGAGAACGAACAGCTGGATCAGCTTCAGGAGCTGCAGAGAGAGCTGGTGTCCAGCCGGGCAGAGCTGGACTCCCTGAAGACCACCATGGCATCATCACAGCAGGTCGCTCACCTCTCAGCTGATTAATGCTCAATACACGAAAAGACCTTCTGACTCGACCACACAGCTGCTGCGAAAGGTTTCAGAGCTACTATATAAAGCCCAGATTTTCTGTCATTTAAAAAAAAGAACAAAAAAAAAAAACAGCTGCTGAAGAAAGTGTGAAGAGATTAATGACCGTAATTTTGTCACTCTGACTAACAGACCTTGGCGATTCTAATGGAGCACAGTCTGGATAAAATCTAATAATGGGCTGCTGGCGTCACACACTCTTATTCTAATCTTGAACTATTTAATCATCTCACTTACACCCCTCTTTTACAGCATTAGTCATATGAATGTGCTGCTCATTTTGGAAATCTAAACTCTTTTTACATATTAACCCTCTGAATGCCAAGCAGTTTCTGGGCGTTTTTGACT